TACAGGGTGGCGTTGGGACTGGTAAAAGCTTTGCAATAAATGTCATCAAAAAGCATTTTGAAAGAGCTCATATCAGTGCTAAAAGTCTTGCATATCAATGGTACCTTCTGCTGTTGTATTGCTAGATTAACTATTGACCAGGCTCTTAATCTTTTTCTTGATCATGAAAACTCCATTACCTAGAGAAAACTTGCAAAATTACTTATAGTGGATACACTCACGGTACATATTTTATAAAATTAATTTTTGGCAGCATTAGTGTCATAACTCTGAATAACTTGTGCTAAAAAAATAACAACTTGCTAGCACCCATGTGTTGAATCAGGATACAGTGCATGTATTTACTATTAATTATTAAGTATTTTACATTATATGCGCTGTTACATAGTCATTAATTTCTGTAAACCACACATGCACAGTGATACAAGACGCTTAAGTCATTATTCCTTCGAATTTTCACTTTTGTCTCTCTCTCTCTATTATATCCTCTTTAATCTTCGTTATTAATTGAATAATATATCTATTGTTCATAAAAACTAGCAGCGTTGCCTACATTGGTGACCCAGACGTTTCCTCCAGACTAATTTGTATCTTGAAAAGCGTTTTTACACAAGTTATTGCTCACTCAGAGGGACAAAGCCCTCCAGCATATTCCATTCTGATTATCCCACTGTCAACTATAGCGACGACATCTACTTCACCATCTTGTCTAGCTTTTCCTGCTCCAGTTACGCTGCCAACGGCATAACAGTATCCATATCCACGGTGACAAATAAACTGCCACCTTTCAGGCCAAACGACCCTCAGATGTGGTTTCGCAAGCACAATTTGGCACTAGACGCATAATGTGACGTAAGAGTTGTTATGACCATGTCATTTCCTCATTGTCACTGGAATATGCCACAGAGATTAGAAATCTCATTATTAATTAGAGATCTCATCATTAATAGTGGAGCGAGCCTGAGCTTACCCCACTAAGATCAGTAGGGGTCTGTATGTATGCACGGGCACGACAATACGGTTGTCTAACGATTAGTAATGTTAACAAATCAATAAACAATAGTCTAGACTAATGCTACTCACGTGCTCCTATTTCATATAAACCAACTGCGTTAACAACAGAGCAGTTTCCATGTGTTGTTTGTAACCTTTAAAGCAACTTTGATTTTGTTTTTTAAGTGAATTTGAGAAATGAGCCAAGACAAAGCTCATAATAGTCGTCGCAGGGAGCTCTACAGAGTGAGAATGGCTACAGAGACTCCTGAAGTGAGAGAAGCCAGACTGGGAAGAAGAGTCGTAGATAGACTGACCTCGTAGGGATGCTGAGAATCCCCAGAAGAGAGAGGCAAGGCTGGCAGCAGCTAGAGCTCGTAGGAAAGCCGAGACTCCAGAAGCGAGAAGCCAGGCTGGCAGCAGGAAGACTGAGAGATAGAGCTCGCAGAGACTCCTGTCGGGAAAGAGCCAGCTTACAATCACAAAGTGAGCAACAGACATCTGCTGCTAGAAACCTTTGTGTATCTGCTAACAGAGTTAGAACCCAGTCAATAAGAGTGCAAGAGACTCCTGCTGATAGATACCAGCGTTTATCAGCTAACAGAGAGAGGTCTCATTCAAGAAGAGAGCAAGAGATTTGTGCTGATAGGCACCACCGTCTAGTAGCTGAAAGAAGCAGGTCTTAATCAAGGAGACACAGAGCAAGGGAAGATCAGGAGTCTCAATTTACTAGCTGAAGTGGAATGATGGAATTTCATTAAAGTATTTCATCGCTCACTTTCTCCACATGTGAAACACGTTTGGAATGATCTCCAAGCATTTCAGTTTCCAGACAGCAAAATGGAGTCAATGAGTGTCGCAGGTGTGCTACTGACAAGCGCATTCCTAAGCTCTACTCCTCTGGAAACAACATGAACCCTGGACTAGTACCACCACAGTTACAGGTATTGTTATTGCATTAATTTTTAAACATTAATAATTAGATACTGGTATTATGTTAGTTGGAGGTCTGTTTACAAAATGAGAAAGCCACATACATTGTCACATTGGTGCATGTATCATTATTTCTTAATTATGTTTAGGACTGATCACAAGCAGAGGTAATGTTGGTGTCTGCTATAATGCCAGTTATATCCATTTAAAGGCTACCTCATGGACAGTATGGCTATAGTGGACATGTCATCAACTTTTCTCAGGATGTCAGATCATTTGCCACCAGGTAACCCCACCTACCAGCTCAGATTGATATTGTAGTTGTTCGGAAGGAAAGAGAGCAGACACACAAGGACTTTCATGTTCGCAGGAGAATCGTTGAAGATGCTTTGACTTGGTTGATGGCCAATAATATCTACTACCAGAAGACTGGAGTAAGTTTGGATCAGGACACATTGGCCATGCTACCTGAGGATGATGACCTATCTAATCTTCATACAGTTCAGCCAGCAGAGTTTCAAGGGGTAACAACATCTAATGACACTAGCACCACTGAGGAAGAGGAAGTCTATTCATCATCATTTGTACCTAATGCTGCACCACCAGCTACTCAGAGGGAAACCATTGAGCAAGCTGTACAATCATTAGGACAGTCACAGCCTTTCATCTCATGTGCATGGCCCAGCATTAAAGGGACTCCTATCAATGAGTTTTAGATACTTCTCAATGGCATTCCCTACTTTGTTTCCTACTGGTGAGACTGTATGACTATGCCATGATGAATTTACAAAGTTTATTAGGTGCTGCTGATTTCAATGGTACTAGAATGAATGCTATAACTGCAGGTCAGTACTTCACTCACCTCATGAAGTATGATGATAAAAGATTTGCTAGGCACCCTTGCTTTTGTTTCTTTGCCCTCAACACTGAGATGCGATGTTGTGCTAATGAAATGGGACAAGTTTACATCATCAAACGACATCGTGGTGAAGGTCACCTTACAGTAGATGATTTTCATGACATGATCGGTCGTGAAGGAGAAAGGTTCTCAAATAAAATTGTCATTATAGAGCAAGTCCATGTCGTACGAGGCAGTACTGGCTTAGAGAGAGAAATCATCTCATTACCATGATAGACACTGGGACTGCCCACCATCTTCACTCATAGTGCTGCTGATCACCAGTGGCCTGAGTTAGCTCATCTCATTTGTCCTGAAGATCCAGAGGATAAGCAGGCTCGTGTAAAAGGAGTTATTGATAATCCAGCTTTAGCTGACTGGTGCTTCTACTACAGGATCCAGAAGTTTGTTGATGCATTTTATCTTAATACTCTTAAAGCCACAGACAACTGTATGAGGTTTGAGTGGCAACATCGGGGCAGTCCTCATGTCCATGGACTAGTTTGGCTACCCAATGCTCCTAACGTTAAGAACCTTCTCTCATCATCACCAGATTTTGTGGAGTCAACAAAACAACGATCATTCAGTACACTGACAAGATAATATCTACCATCAATCCTGCTGTCCTTCCTGATGGCAGTAATGTCAGTGATGCTCCACCACCTGAAGTTGATCCACACATTTTTAATAAGCCATACTCACAAGTAACTGATACTCAGGAAGACCTGGCTGATCTAATAGCCACATGCTAACGACACACTCGTTGTTTAGAGTCCTACTGCCTACGCACACATAATGGAAAGCAGGAGTGTCGGTTTGGATTTCCTAAAGCTCTTCAGGCACAGACCACCATCAACATCACTGAAGAGGAGCCTGTAATACTCACTGCACGTAATGATGGAATGCTCAACAGTTTCAATCCCATTCAACTAACATCCTGGTGTGCTAATGTGGACATACAGTACATTGCATCAAGGAACAGGGTTGTTCAGTGCTGCACCAAGTATGTCACTAAAAGTGAGACTAGGTCACAGTCTTTGAGGGATACTTTTGCCAACATTGCTGATTCATTGAAAGAAGGTAATCGATCACTCAAAGCTGTCCAAAAGCTCCTCATTAACAGCTTCGGAGGGAGGAACTTTTCAGCACAGGAAACCTGTCACCTCCTACTACAACTCCCCATGTACAAGCATCAGGAGTTTTATCAACCTCAGTCTTAATGGTTCTAGAGAAGTTCAAGGCAATATGCAAGAGGAAGAGAGGGTGACAGCTCTTTCTGTGTTGCATCATTACACAATATGTCCAACAACTCAACAGGTCAACTCAATCACTCTCTTGGATTTCATTCGTTAGTACACAATGCCTAAGGAATTGGGTACTAAACCAAAGATAAGCAAAAAAGTGATTTTCACACCCAAACCATACTGTTCACCAGATCCATCTGGCCCCAACTATGAACAGTACTACCGTCAGTTTCTGATGCAACATAACCATTCAGAGACATCAATGAGTTAAAGACTGGCTGCAACTCCTTTACTGAGGCATTTGCTGATGTCCTTTAGTCTGGAAATATTCCTCATTCCCTTGAGGAGGATATACTCAGACTACAGCAGCACTTCAGTCAGACAGACCACTGAAGGAGATGAAAGGGTATGTTTCAATGTTTCTCATTTTGTGTGTATTGCATTTACATTACTGTAGTTATTACTAATTATTGTTGATTTCTTATTGTTGAATAACTGTTATTATTTATTTATTCATAGAGTTCACAAGCTGATCAACATCAGAATCACCATCAGAAAGCACAGGAGAAATGGATGCTGTTCTGTGAATGTGTCAGTCAACTCCAGCCTGATGTATATTCACCAGAAGATTATGACTGGTTAGCTGAGGCAAGATCATATGCCAACATTGAAGAAGCAGCCACTTTCATTGCACAGGAGAAACAGAAGAACCACACCCACTCCATTTACTACCACTGCTACACCAGAAAATCTTCAAGGAAGGCAACGTGATGTGTATGACACAGTGAAGGTTCACTTTGAATCTGGTAATGCTGATCCACTACTCATCATTGTCAATAGGACAGCTGCTATGGTTAAATCACATCTCATCAACTAG